TAGTGCAGAGACGGTTTTATTTAGGGAATGCAGGGGCTCAGTTATGCATGCAAGCGTTTCAGCATTTCTGTGTCCCAGGCAATGGCCTTCTACTGAAAAGATGTATCCCCAGTAGATGAAGAACATCAACTGAGACAAATTCGTAAAAATGCCGTCTTGTTTTTCAAAGCTACCAGAGGCCATTATAATCCAAAGCTGCATAGCACCATGTGCAAAAACCCTGCAGCCATGGGGTAAGCAAGGCAGCTGACTGCAGACAAGTGTCTGTTTTTTGATGAGGATTAGTTAAGGTAGAGTTGTCATAAAGTGATGGCCTTGAAAATATGTTGCTTTCTTTTAGGAGAATGTTAGGTGTGAGGTTAAGGTGTAGTTTCATCAGTCCTCCTCCACCTTTTTATCTGTCTCCCCCATATCTCTCACAGTAGCTTAGTCAGCAGCATTTTCTTGCTTCGTTGGTTTTGAAAAGCACTTGCTGCTCCCTGCTGTCAGATTATGTCCAGGAGACTGTCTCAGGTCAACAGTCATAAGACATTCTTTGCTCAATTCTTTTCCCAGCCTAGAAAACGAAGGAAAACAAGAAAAAAACGACACCCAAAAAAACAGAAATTGGGAAGTGGGGAAGGGAGGCATGATCTAAGTTACCTGGTCTCTGTATGCAGTTCCCATAAAGAAGGTTCTACAGTGGATGTCTGAGTTCCTTGAGTCTGCTTGGCCAGTCTGGGACACCTGAGAGAGCAGAACTTCTAGCATCAGTTGTATTTTAGAACAGGTATTTGAACTTGGTAGTGCCAGTATCATGGAAATACTTAAACTGTAATTAAGCATTCACTGTCTGAGTGAGTAATACAAGCAAAGGCAATCCACATTTACCATCTCCCTACAAATATGGGATAACAGTGATGCCAGTGTTAGTAGTAAATGAGTAGATACGTAAAATGTGGAATTAGTTTGGATTTGAATGTGTAACATGAAAAAAGAAAGGTGTTACTCACTGTTTTTAAGCTGTAACTCTGATCTTCACAGTATCTAAATGTTTGGATTTATAAATTTGGTAAAAACTCTTTGTTGTTTACAGACAGCACAGGAAGAACGTGTTGCAAGCTGACAAAGGAAACTCAGACACATTGTTTATAAGCCACTGCTGTCATGAGGATAGAACTGGCCATCCTTGGGCTTCCTTACACATTTCCTTTTGGATTAGACATTATTTGGAGATGTGGAGTTTAAGCACCCACGCTTCTGTGGTCTAAGGGAAGAATTCAACACTGGAACTCTCCAAAGATACCTCCATGCATCAGAACAAAGTAACTGCAGCTGAGACCTGAGATTGTTCCACCTTCAGTGCTTCTAGGTCTGGATTAAAGAGTCTGCTGAGCTGATGCAGGAGGCCATGGTCTTCTGAGCTCTGTTAGACTGGGGTAAGTGGTGTCTTGACCAAACAATTTTATTTGTTGCTGTTAAAACTGTTAGTTAGAGTTTTTACATGAAAAAAATATCAGACTCTGTTGATGAAGAACTGCTAGTGCATAAGCAGCTCTGTTTCAAAAGATGTTAAAAAGTATATAGTATTTTCTGGGACATAGTTTTGCTTACTCATACTTGGCAACTAAAGATACATGTGCTGAATAGTTGTCTTTCTCATACATCAATAGAACGTCTAAATTATTCAGCTGTGGAGAATGACCAAATCTTTGTGACTCTTTCTGGCCCAGTAACAGACAATTAATACAGAGTACAAAAGTCTGCCTATTTTAATGCAAACAGAAGATGAAATTACATGAGGTGTATGTGTGCCTATACTTCGCAATCTGTTTACCTGTTTGCTTTTTACAGAGAGTGTGAAATGAGATTTCACTTCTTCAGTCCAGGTTTTCTTGATTGGTGCAAACCTGTTCTCTCTTTTTCTCTGTAAGCAGATATTTGTAGCTTTCTACCTCTATTCAGAGTATGAATAATCAATTACAAAACAGCCCCACCCCAAACCCTTAAAAAAAAAAAAAATCAGAATTGCAAAGAAGTTTATTTCCAAATACCCCAGGACAGCAAGAGCTTTTGAGCTAGGAAATTACATGTATTTAACATGGCTGTTGACTCTTCCATTGAATGAAAGCTGTACATCAAGAGAGATCTCTCATTAAATGATTACAGCACAAATTCTTCCTAGATTATGGAAGGCAATTTCCCTTGTTCTGCTTATGACATTTTACAGTTTGGAGAACTGAGAATGAGAATGTATCTGTGACCAATCAAAATATGAAAGGGGGAGGAAAGTTGCAAGAATTCAGTTAATACTTGCTCACATCCTCCATTCCCATGTCCCCATGTGTCCCCAAGCTTTGCATGCTTCCTGGAAGATACCATTTTTATTACTGCATGTGATTTCACATCCTTTAGGACAAATTCTGCTAGTGTCAACGGTTTACGGGCTGGTTCGGCCCGGTTCCGTGACGAGCGGGGCGGAGGGATCCGCAGATCCTCACCTCCGGAAAAAAAGGAAACAGGGGACCCCAAAATAATTAAAACAGCTGCACCGATCTGAGGAGAAACAAACTAATTTACTAAGTATGTTATCGGAATGCAAGATAACACACTATGATACAATATAATCAGAATGGAAGCTAATAAATCAAATATAATGAGAGAGAGAATGTCCGAAAGGTGGATAGGCCTCACCACAACGCTGAGGTGAGATGCGCAGTGCAGTTGAGCAGCAGGGAGACGGGAGCAGTGTCCACGACGAAGGGCAGGCGAGAAAGAGAACTAAAGTGACCTTGCCAGGAGTTAAACCTCCTCTCCCTGACCGCAAGGTCCCCTGGGGAATGTAGTTCTTCTTCTCTTCAGGGCAGGTACCCAGGACTTGAGCATTAACAGTTAAAGACCCAGTGCCCCACATGATGTTATGATGTGGAATACCGAAAGCCAAAAAAATCACAAAACCATGACAGCTAGCTAACAAGAAAACTATATGCAAAACTTGTCAGGTTAGCAAAGGCATAGGAATTTGGCTGGGCCATACAGAAGCAAGTGCATCTTAATGTACTGCATACTGTGCATTTTCCTTGCCTCCATTCCACTGAGTGCCAAGACACCTTCCTTGTTCTGTGGTCTCTGTGCTCAGATTGGGTTTGGTTCAGAGCAGCTGAGCATTTATCTGACTCGACTGGTCTTAATTAAGGTATTTCAGATCTTTCACCGATATGTAGCCTGACCTGGCTCATCTACTTTGGCCTTGATTCATTGGGCCAAAATATTTAACAATTTTCACTTACTGTGATGAAGAGCTAAGAATCATAGAATCACAGAATTATAGAATCATAGAATCACTTGGGTTGGAAAAGACCTTCAAGATCATCAAGTCCAACCACAACCTAACCATCCTACCCTAACTCTAACAGCCCTCTGCTAAATCGTGTCCCTGAGCACCACATTCAAACAGTTTTTAAACACATTCAGGGATGATGACTCAACCACCTCTGTGGGGAGCCTATTCCAGTGCTTAACAACCCTTTCTGTTAAGAAATTTTTCCTGATATCCAACCTAAATTTATCGTGGTGAAACTTCAGGCCACTTTGCCTCGTCCTGTCACCTGTCACCAGTGAGAAGAGACCAACCCCGCTCTCGCTGTAAGCACCTTTCAGGTATTGGAAGCGAGCAATAAGCACCCAGCCTCCTTTTCCCCAGACTGAACAGCCCCAAGTTCCAGCTCCCTCAGTCTCTCCTCATAGGCCATATTCTCCAAGCCCTTCCCCAGCCTTGTTGCCCTTCTTTGGACCTGCTCCAGCACCTCCATGTCCTTTCTGTACTGAGGTGCCCAAAACTGAACACAGCACTTGAGGTGAGGCCTCACCAATGCCCCACCAATGCCGAGCACAGGGGCAGGATGGTCCTGCTGGTCCTGCTCACCACCCCATTCCTGATACAAGCCAGGATGCCATCGGCCTTCTTGGCCACCTGGGCACACTGCTGGCTCACATTCGGCCGACTGTCCATCAGTACACCAAGGTCCCTTTCCATCAAGCAGTTTTCCAGCCACTCCTCTCCAAGCCTGCAGGGTTGCCTGGGGTTGTTGTGACCAAAATGCAGGACTTGACACTCAGCCCTATTGAAACTCATGCAGTTTACCTTGGCCCATTGATCCAGTCTATCCAGGTCCCTTCTCCCCTCAGGCAGATCAACATTCCCTCCCAACTTAGAGTCATCTGCAAACTTACTGAGGGTGCACTCAATCCCCCCATCGAGATGGTTAACAAAGGTGTAAGTCAGGAGCCTTTTCAGACCGTCTCTGCCTGCTTGGATTCATGGCTAGGTTGAGGAGAATGCCAAGCATCCTGGCTGGCAAATCAAAATGTGTTATCAGTAGCACCAGAATAAATAACAGAATTCCAGGTGATAGTACAGTCCTGAACTTTTTAATCTGTAAAGCAAATCAATTTCAATACAAATGTGCTCTGGAAAATCTGTTGCGTTTGTAAATTTAACATGCTCAAAACAATCTGTTTATTGCAATCTGATCTATTCCTTGTCTGTTTCTGCTGCAGGATAAAACAGTATACAGACAGATTTTGTCTGTAGTTAAGTAGTTGTAAACGACTGTAAACATTCCATAACAATTTTTTGCAGTACAGTGAATTGCCTTGCAGGTGCATACGCTATAAATAGTGGAAATAGAGGAAAATGGCAGATTTTCCATATGCTCTGCACTGCTTGATATTTTAGGAATGCCATTTACCACTTTTATCCATTCATCTCTTTGAATTCCAGTCTCTCAATCATCACCTTTTCTCTCAGGACCGCTGTGAGGCTTAATTCATTAATGTCTGTAGAGTGCTTTGAAATTTTAGATGAAAGGGATTACAGAAGTGCAAAATATTAATATTAAAGAAAAACTGTGAACCCACAACTCTCTCCTTCTTTCCCTCAGCTCACCTGTTCCATGGTCTTTGAAACAATATGTTCGCTTAGGATCGAGGCAAATTCTTTTTTATGTGATGCACTGGTAACATGAGGTTGCAAATGCCCATATTTTTTTAATATTAACTAATATTAATTTAATAATTAATGTAATAATTTAATTAAATTAAAGTTAATGTAAAAAAAATTCAGAAGTTTTAATCTCTTCCTCTGTCTCACTGCTCCCCGAAAATGTGGTCCTTGGTTAAATTCAGCTGAACTGCATAAGCGTTGAAAGAGTCATACAACTCTCCATAAGCTTGTATTAGGAAATAGAAGTTCATCTATCAGATTTACAGAGTTTCTGACTGCAGAATAACTGGCATAACACACTCCTTTCAGAACATGTGATTTGTTTCCTAGATGGAACTGGTTTCTCTATCCTAACATCTGCATTTGTTTCTGTATTTTCTGCTTTCACAGGATCACAAGATAACTCAGCTTCTTGCTATGCGTATGGAAAGTCCTCCCTTCCTAAGATATGAATTTCCCTCTCTGTTGTAGCCATGAAATAAAATTTGCAGTAAGTTGTTTTCTTCTCAGGCATTCACGATTGCTCTTTTAAGCCATACCAGGCTTCCCCATAGTGGTGTTCATTTTCCCCAAGAGGAAAGGTCCAGTTTCCTGTCTTCTGAGCCAGTGTGAGAAGGCGGACCTTCTGCAGAAGGTTTCAGTTTTTTCTCCAGTGCTGCTCACACAGCTCCCATCCGGGTAAAGCTTTTTGTTACTGCAACCTTTATTAACGAGCAGGATAGAGAGCTCTGTCAGTGTGAACCCCCACACCACCACCAAACCAGTGTTCAAAGCTCATCTAAAACATCTGTGATGGCCAGGATCTGGTTGTCCAAAACAGAGCTTCTAGTCATGGCTTTTTAAAAAGATACTGCATCTCTCATCATCCTCTTGGAGTTTGTATGACCCTTCCCAACCACAGCCAGCTTATTTCAGAATAATTCTTTTGTGGTGCTGTCGTGTCACTATCCTGCTTTTCCAGATCAGTCATGTAATGTCAGTAGAAGCCTCTTGTGACCTCCTTATTACACAGACAGATATCTGCAAGTCAGTTATGGAGGGTTGCTAGCTTGAATCTGTATTCAAATACTCAAATAGGCGTGTTTTTATTCAGATTTCCTTTTAAAGTTTTTCCTGTGTTACATATGCATGATGCTGATATAATCCGGAATTTTTAGTTGACTGTAAAATTACTACTAGATATTAGACTGGAGTTGTTTTAACACCACTTCTTCCTCAAAGGAAAATTAATCATTTACTAAACTAGAATGTTAACGTGAATGATTGTGTTGTTATGCATATTTTATTTAATTTTTTCAGCCTTCTAGGTCCCTTTGAAAAACAAGCTTAGCCAACCAAACTTAAGAAGCTTTTACTCGAGTGTGTGTAAATGTTAAATAAACAAAATGGTTTTGCTGCTTATACTTGCAGTATTCAGCTTCATTAAACATGTTTATATGCAGTCTGTAACCTTTCGCGGTGTAACAGGCTGGATGACTAACTTGTAAGACAGATTCAGTTCAGATAAAAGAAGAGATGGAGAATGTGCTCTGGAGAAATTGTTTGGATGTTGATCTCCCTAGACACTCTTTTGCCCCATTCAGGCAAAATAAAGGTTTCTGTCTTGGAAATCATGAGAAGTATTCCAGGTCTTCAGTGAACTCAAGCTGGCTGGCTTTTCTTTCCAGGGAGTAGCAGTTAATAAGCATTTTGCATGGTGAAGTCGTCCATGGTTAGCGGTATCCCCACCGCCAAGTACGAATCCTCCCGTGACAACGCAGTTGCAGGCTGAGGCGTGGTGTGAGGTTTGTACATTCCACTTCCTCTGAAAGCCTGACAAAGGGTTTGTTTCCAATTAGACAGCAAAGCCAGGCTTCAGAGGCCCAGGAGACAGTAACAGCAGAGAGAATTTTAAGAATGTCACATATGGCAGATATTCAGGGAAGACCTTGGGAACACAGAAGAACAGCTGATGTTTGCTTTTAGCCTTACCTGCCAGAGCAAGGATTAAGCGTGAGCAGATTGTGTCTTACCGCCTCTGTTTTATCCTAAAGCACGTTGGCCAATACCAAGGTTTTGATGCCCTTATGCACAGTAAGTACTAGCTGAGAATAATGCCGTTGATACTGATGGAATTACAGCATAGCAAGATGCTACTTGCTAGGAAATCCTGATATTCTGAAAGAATGTATGTGCCAGTTAAAGGAGCGAACAGGTTGTGTAAGCAGTATGGGAGTCATGGTAAACTTTGAGGCAATGGCTTACAGCAATCAGTACAAACCCCTGCCAATGGATTTTGTTGTAATAATGATTGATGCGGACTGTGCATGGACACAAGGCATGGATACATTTGCTACTTTGAGGAGACACGTATTCCATGTTAGTAGAGTGACAGTGCTGGGAATGAGAGAGGTGCTCACTAGCAATATGGTAGTTGATTGTGAGGGTTGTCTTCAAATACTAAACATAAGGCACTGTAAAACACATTCTCAGTTCAGAAGAAATGCTGTAGAGACATGATTTTACACTAGATTGTTCCAAATAAGCAGCTGTCCTTGCCAGCATTCAGAGAGGCATCCACATAAGTACTTCTTCCGAGAGACAGCCTACCCATGTCCTAATGAGGATAGGCCAGCCATAACTCTTCAACAACAGCTGCCCCTTTTCTTTCAAAGCTGCCATTTATATTTAACTTTTGAACTTTCCCTTTAGCCCAATGGCTTTCAGACTACAGAAGAAGTAAATTGGTGAAGCAGCTTCAAAGTCACTGAATATCTGTCTTGCTCCCATTCATCAAATGTGCAGTAGATTTTATTCTCTGTAAAGAAATCTTTAGTACTTGAACTGCCCTCCTGAAAACAAAACCAACCAAGAATGACAGTGTCTGTCTGCCAAAGAGGAAAACTATCCCCTCTAAGGTTAATATGTCCAAGGTTGATCCTAATAATAGGAGTAAATAGATTCACAAGATGCATTCTATCCCTCAAAGCAACGACTCTTTCTAATGTACTTGCATTACAAAATGCTATTTTAAAAAGGCAAAACAAGACATTTTTAGGAACTTGTTGCCGTAAGTCAGAACTTATATGAACATTCAATTTGATTAGCTACAGCCAAAAGCTATAAGGTATGTCACAGAGCCTGAAAAATTAATGAAAGCAGTACTATTTCAGTTTAATATCCCTGTTTACTAGTCTCCGAACACCCCTACCACTGCAGCCATTGGCTTCATTGCAGTGCTTCACCACACCCTGAAGCAGACTCGCAGACAGATGAACTCAAGAGTGTCCTGAAGGCTGTGAGAACACCTCAGGAAATGTTGACTTTTACAGTCTGAAGATCAAAGCTGAATTATCTGCCTTGAATTATTTAAATTCTTTAGATGATGAATTGCATGTATTTGCTCGTGTTTTGTTTTCCAGCTATGAAACTTATTTTTCACTTGCTCCGAAGCGGTAGTTCTTTAAGAATATGAATAACAGTCAGCATTTGTAGGCATCTTCCACTGTTTTGTAACTGAACTTTCCGTGACATTTTGCAGTGTCAGAAAATAGGTGCTTGCAAAGGAAGCCTCACGTTTTCAAATGCCTATGGAGAACAGGGCATTACATGGAATTTGTGACACAAGACAATCTTTGATTTACGGCATTTACATTTAACTCGGTGGGACCTGGTGTTCTTCCACACCAACCAGTGTGGCTTAGGAGACAGAGATCCGACAGAAACAGGCTGCCGCTCCTCCCCAGCGGTTCCTTTCTGTGGGCTTACCAAAGGTCCAGGTTCCGCCGCTCAGGCGCCCCGTGGTGCTCGCAGGCGCCGTGCTGCAGTGTTCGGGTGAAAGAAGCCGTCGAGATCAGGTGTACGTCTATGGAGTCCCGTGTTAGCAGGAGTCCTGAAGACTGCTGGCCAGGGGCGCGTGAGGATACGGCTCAGAGACCTCAGCTCTGGATTGTGGGGTGGGGACTTTCTTTCTCCCAGGACGAGGTGCGCCGGCACTGGAATTTGAGGCAAAATCGCCCGACGTAGCGGCCGCGCACCGGGCACCTGCTGCCGCCGCTGAGCGCCGTCCCCTGCGGGGGGCGGACCCTCAGCGCCCGTTGCGGCCGCAGGGAGGCGCTGTAACGCGGCCGGGCGGGGCGCCCCCGGACGGAGCCGCCTCGCGGCGGGGTGGAGCGCGGCGGCCGCACCCCGGCCCGCCCTGGCAGCGCCTCCCGCTCAGTCGTGGGCGGCCGCGGCCCCCGCTCGCCATTGGTTCTCCGGGCACCACGTGGTCGGCGGGGGGCGGGGCCGGGGCCGGGGGAGGGCGGGAGGCGGTTGTCCCGGTAACGGGAGAGTGAGTAGCGGCGGCGGCAGCGCGGAGCGGCGGAGCCGGGCGGCCTCGCCCTGCCCTGCGCTGCCCCGGGCGCGGCACTGCCCGCCCGGCCCTAGGTACCGGAGGAGAGGAGCTGAAGTTTGTCCCGGGGGGCTGCGGGGAGGGACGGGACGGAACGGGACGGGAAGGAGCCCGCCGGCAGCACAACTCGTGGGGGGGCGTGGGGCGCGGGGCGCGGCGGGGCCGGGCAGCATCCTGGCGGGTCTCCGGCACGGCGCTGCTCCCGGTGCTGCCGGGCGGCGGGGATGGGCTCCGCTCGTCGCTGGCCCCGGCTGCGTCCCGGTGCGGCTGAGGCGGCGCGTGTCGGTGCGCTGCGGGAGCAGGCGGGGACGGCGCTGCCCCGGGGCGCCGCTTTCCCGCCGTCCGCGGCTGCGGGAGGAGCTGGCGGCGGGGAGCGGCGTGGGAAGTGCGCGCGGTCGCGCTCCCTACCTGTTGTGCCGCGCGCGAGCGCTCGGGAGCCTTTCCCGTCGCTGCTCGGCTGGTGCCGGAGCTCTGTCGGCGGGAGCTGGCTGTCTGCGGGCGCCGCTTTCTGCTGCGTTCCTCAGCGGCTGCTGGGCGAATGGTTCTCTTAAATCGTGCTGCTGCTGCTTAGAATTGCGTTTTTCGGTGCTTGCTGTGTGATCCGTGTAGCTAAACATGTGCGCTTATCCCACGCTCAGCCAAAGCCCCTAAAATTAGTTTAATCCTCGGCCTGTTTTGCTTTGGAACCTATTTTAGTAAAAGTACCTTTCTTGGTGTTTCAGTTTGGAAATCGACTGGTATCGGTTCTGCTTCTGGGATTATCCTGGGCTGTGATGTGTGAACTTGTTCTCTCTGCTCCGAGGAGCGCAGTGCTTTAAGGTTGCCGAGCTGGGAACCTGTGGCTCCAGGTGTTGGGTTGCTTTCTGGATTCATGGCAGAACCTGCTCCTCCACATGTCCCTTCTCCATGTGCTTTTGGGAGGTAGAGCACCATATCTGGGTTTGAGGCCACGGCACAGCGCTGAACTTGGCTGTAGGGGCAAAACCGCGATTCTGGAGGGCAGAGCTTTTGGGTCGATGCATGATGTGCTTGGGAATGTGGCAATCAGGCATGTGGTGTGGCAGGGATGGGCTGACAACTGGCCTAGATGACCTCAGTGGTCTCTTCCAACCTTAGTGACTGTGTGAGGCTTCCAGGCATCGGTCTGTGTAGCCTCAGCAGTGGTGCGCAGGTCTGTCTCTGTCAGGTGTCTTTGTGAAAGAAGCCACAAAGGCAAGGTAAGGCATTAAACAGGAATCAAAGCGACTGGAGAGGTTTGGGTAGAGAGTGTAACGTGTACAAAATGCACAATTACTGTGTCAAAATGTGTCTGCGCTGTGTCTGAGCACTGGTGCAAAGAGTATCAATTCAATTCAAGCTGGTAAAAGATGTTTTTTTTCCTTGTCTCTTTTAGGTGTTTGTTTGAATACATAGATGAAGATGATGACTAGCGTGCCTGGACAATTTTACGTAATTAACACCTGCTAGATGTGCAAAAGGCAATTATTGCTGTGAAGTGTTTACATTGATTTATGGGAGGAAAGTGGCCCAAGAGAGGGATGCTGATAATATCAACCCAGTGGATTAAATGCACATTTACACCTTTATTGACATATAAATTATCCATGCCAGGAATGCACTGAAACGGCTGCTGATGGGGCAATAATGTGGCACAAAGTACTGGGTTTGGATTCAGCTCTGTCATCCTTCTGTAAGGCACGGCAACGGGATTCTGCATCTGAGCTCAAGTAGGGAACAGAGGCTTACAGACTGGCTGTCTGTTAGGATAATGAGCAGTGATGGCAAGTGAGAACTTGGAAGGATGATAAAAAAACGTGGCTGAGGTCTGAAGGAGTACTCTTGCTTTTTTTTTTTTCAAATGACTTTAAGGTTTTTGTTGTTGTTCGTACTATGGATTTTTAGAGAAAGCTGAAAGAGGCCGGAGGAGTGTTTGTAGCTGGGAAATGGAACCTGGCTCTGAATCCAGCCAGCATCAGAAGAGAAAGCCGGTGACACATGGACTGGAAGATCAAAAAAGGGTAAGTGACAAAAGGCAGA